CAGTGTCGGCTCCGTCTTGGAGCCGGCTGGCATTGTCTCTATCGGACACAGGGGAAGCTTCTAGTAGCTTCTCACAGAAGCCCCCCACACACTACCAAAACCTTGCCACACAAACCCAATACAGCTGCCTAAATGGATTGCGTAAGTTTTAGGACAAAAAAGTCAACTGACTTTTTTTTTTTTTTTAAATTCAGAAAAGCTAGTGATTCTTTTGTTTTAGTTTCTAAGGCTTGGGCGTCTGCGCATAGCTCTCCCTCATTTGAACACTAGGTAAAGTGTTCAGAGCTTATTTCCTCTTCAATTTTTTTCTTCAAAATTTGAGCAAATGGAGAACTGGTAGTTGTAAAGCCTTGTTTGTAGGAACTACATGCAGGTCATCTGAGTCACTGAAATACATTAGTTTTATATAATCCTGTGTTTGGCTTCTGATTTATTGGAGCCAATACTCCTTTTTTCATTTGCACTCTGTTCTTGGAGCCAATACTCCTTTTTTCATTTGCACTCTGTTCTTTTCTGTGTGACAAATTTGAATGTTCATTTCTACGTACCTTTGCAGTTTTAAAAATAAAGCCTTGCTTTAAGATATCTTGAATTTTAAACCATGCAGACTGATGCCAAGACTTCTCTAAGTGTTAAATCTATAAAGACAATAATTATTTTTTTGTTAGTACTAGAAAAATATCAGACATGCCTGGTTGAAAGAAGTTGTTTTATGTTTGAGCTTCTGTTCTGCAGTGTGTGAAGGAGGCGAGTATTCCACCCATCGTCCAGTATCCCCAACCGGGCATATCTTCAGAGGAAAATCTTACTCTAGGTTGCTGTTGTAGTTGACTTTCTTTTTTATTATGTTCAGCCATTATAAGTAATTCAGAAAAGATCAGATATATAATGTGAGCTTATTTTGGAGTTTTTGCCATGTAAACTTCGGTAATAAATTTGATAATCATAGAACCAGGTGACAGCTTTCCTTTCAGGCCCCAATATTTTGCAGCCTAAAAGGCTGCAAAGCACTGAAACTGATGTGGAACAGAAGTATATCTAGAATGCATATGTGTCCAGAAAAGGTAGGTCCAAAAAAGGTTATCAGTCCCTGCCTGAAACGGTTGCTGGAATGCAAGCTTACAAAACAAACTCCTCCTTGAAAATAACTTAATTAGCAGGATAAAGCTACTTTCTAAGGTCCAGTGTGCTTTGCATTCTTCAGCCATTTCTGGACCGTAATAATTATTCTGCTTGTTTTCCAATGAATAATTATCATTGAATATATTAGAGATAATGGTTGTAAGATGACAAATTATTTCTTAGTGACTTTTTGGAACTACAGTACCTATATACATAAAGTAAGTATTTACATAAGGGAAACGAAAGAAATTCCTACTCTCCTCCCAGATCAAATGGATGCTTCGCATTGTGCTCTTCTTGCAGGGTTTTGACCAGCTGCGAGTGGAAGGTTTGCTTTGTGATGTGACGCTTGTTCCAGGGGATGGTGACGAAGTGTTTCCTGTTCACAGAGCAATGATGGCTTCTGCAAGTGATTACTTCAAGGCTATGTTCACAGGTGGTGTTTTTGTTAAAATAATGCATACTGCTATCTCCAAATTGCCATTTTTGGACACTCAGACACATGTTCAGTGTTGTGTGTGAATCAACCCAGGACTGCAAACAACTATGTAGTTGTACTCTCTCTACTGTTGCATATGGGTTTTTAAACTAAACTTTTAAATTATATTTTAATTTTGTATAAGTTTATAAAATTATTTCAACCCAATCAGAATGATCGTATAAACTTACCTACATGTCTTTTTCAGGAGGAATGAAGGAACAGGATTTAATGTGCATTAAGCTTCATGGTGTGAACAAAATAGGCCTAAAGAAGATCATTGATTTCATTTATACTGCAAAACTTTCCCTTAACATGGACAACCTTCAGGACACTTTGGAAGCTGCCAGTTTTTTGCAGATTTTACCTGTTTTGGACTTCTGTAAAGTGTTTCTTATCTCTGGGGTAAGACTTACTACTTGTTTCACATTTACAGTGATTAAGGCCTTGGTTTGTTGTTTTGGTGTTTTTTGATAAGAACAATGACTATGTAATAGTCAAAGTTAAGTCTGAAAGTTGCCATTATTCGTAATTTGGATTCACAGAGAACAAGTTTGCTTTGTAATTTTCTTGAAAGTCTTTTTTCTTCTGAGTATTATGTACAGTGTGAGTCTGATATAAATGCTATACCACATAAAAATTCTTCTAATTCCTAAGCGTATTGCAGTGATGATAATCATAGTTCCCAGATTCCTTACTGGATTTCTTAGTTCATGCCCTCACACTCTATATCCTTCCATAAGAAGGCTACTTGGTGAGTTAAACTAAAAAAATAATAGAAGAGTAGGCCTGCCTGTTGCTGCCTGTGAACATACTTTCTTGAAACCTTTTTGTTTTGAGGAGTGAAGCCCACAGTTGTAGTGATTATCACAGAGACCATTACATCTTCTTTGTGAACCAGTGAACTTGGTCGCAGTCCTTTAGAATAATATGTTCTCTAAAGGGATTACTAGTAGGGATGTTACAGAAATGTTGGTTAAATGAGAAAAGTAGCTACAAGGTTTTTATGTTGATTGCCGTATCTTGCTAGAGCTAAAAATGGGCTTGAATGCCTACTGGGAAATATTTTTTCCAAATCACCAAAATAAGTGCTTTTGTAAGCAGGGGACAGCCCCCAAAGTAGCAACCCTCTCCTCTTCTACTAATAATGGTTAGTTAAAAGAATAATATGTACGCAGTTTGTAGCACGGTTGCTTTTGTGCAATTGGAACAAATAAAAAGTTTGCCCTACAAAGCAGTACACTATAGTTCCAATGCAATGCAGTCTATTTATGATTTAGAGTTGCCCTGTTGATTTTTATTTATTATGGACATTAAAATCTCGGGTCCTGAACTCCCTCTGGGGGAGGTGGAACTTTGATAACAACCTTTTTTCCTCCTCCTCCTTCCCTTCCTCTTTCAGAGTTGGTGTCCTGTTTTGTTTTGAGACTGTGCTTTGGAGAAGAATGTCATGCTCCCTTCAAGTTGAATGTCAAACAGTTTTGCAGTTTTCTCTGTATTAAAAACTAACTTCTGTTTTTGTAAAAGCAAGAGAGCTGTTAAGGATTCAGCTTGTTAAGTGCTAACTGGCTTCTCCTGTTGTAAGTTTTTTCCTGGGTTCTGTCTTCATGGGTGGGAAAAGGCATGTAAGGAAAGAGATGTGACATGAAAACACTCCATTTATCTGGCTCCAACCTCTTGTTAAAAGCATTGGGTTTATACTCCTCTGTTTAATCCTGTTGTTTATTAAGCGTAACTCACATACACAGATTGGGTTGTTTTTCAGAGGTTTTGTTTTCTGAACATCCTTTACTTCTTAAATCTCAGGTATCAGAGGTTTCAGGGTCTCACTGCATGGCTGCACTCATTCTAGCATTACAGTCAACTTACTGCATGCATTTTATATGCTTCAGTTACGTTCACTTTATTTCTGTAGTTAAAATAGTGCAGTCTCAGAATATGGGTGCAGTTATCTGTTTTCTAACTTAAACACAGTGTATAAGCAATGCCAATATATGATGCTTCAATACCTTTCCTAGTTCTTGTCCTGCTGTCTTGCATTAATATAACTCTTTGTCCTGCCAACAATAAGGAGCACCTACTTTGTGGGGCTGCAGAATGAAAGAGCTGCAAGAGCTGTGCTGTCAAAGCAGTTCTGCCTAGAGAGACACTTTGGCATTATTTCTAATGTTTCCTGGAGGTTTTCTGATGTTAATTGCTTATATACCTTACTAGAAATCTTACTTTACCTGTAACAGGGAAGGTGGTGTGTTCTACATGAATTATAATATCATTTGGAATTCAGTTTTCTGATAGTCTGTAATGAGAAATAAAGAAGCAGGTATTCCCATTGTTCCTCAGAGTACAGGCTCAGAAATGTGACCTCCCTAATGAAGAAATGTACCGGGATTTATGCGAACAAGAGGACTCCAAGCTGCTAATAATAGCAATCTGTTTCATAAGGAAAGCGTTAGAGGCATTTAGGCTCTATAATGCTACTGTTTTGCTTTTAATTTTGGCATATTTTGTAATTGGTCAGTTCTCTGAGAAGGTTGCGATAATGTTTCATTAATCTTAATATTCTTAAATCCTATACCACCTATTTTATGCTGCTCAGGTTTTTTTTACCTTCCAGAATGATGCAATCTGCCTCTCCAGGGTTGACGTTTCTATAAATGCCAACTTGGAATAAGGTCTTGGTGTTCTTTTGAATCAGGGATTTGGAGCGGCCTCCCTTTGATGGGAGGTGAGCTCCAGGGACACCCTGTTGCCCTCTCCCCTTTCTGGGTAGGGCAGCTGCTTGATTATTTTGCTTTCTTAGGGAAAAAGCTTCTTTCATCTTAAATCGTGTTATTTGGAAGAATTTTTTTCATTGTTTGAAATGTTTGTTTTCGGAAGGTTCCTTTGCTTATGATGTTGACTCAGTCACTGTTTTGGTTCGTGTAAGAAACATCTTGTTTGATAGCACATTTTGAAAGGGGTGAGGTTCAGAATCAGGAAGACTTTATTCATTCTCTTAATTTATTGATTCTCTTTTCTGAAATATTTTCCTTTATACTGATGTCTAAGGAGACATAATCTCATTCATTGTGTAACTGTAGAGAAAGTACAAAACTAAGTTTGTGCTGTTAGCCTCGTTATGTTCTCAACATCCTTGTATAAAGAATTTTTGAATGAACTTTCTTTGGAATTTGAACAGGAACAAGGGTTGGTGAGCAAACTTGGTGGATTTTGCTTTTTTAATTACCATATCTTAGCTTTGCAGAGATTATACTAGTTTTGCTCCATTCTTGAAGTAGTGTTTCTGTAATTTAAATGAGTTCTCTGAGCAAGTCTTGAGCTTATTTCTACTGAAATTAGCTGAGAGCAGCATTTGAGAGCTGATGTAACCATTCCCAAATACTTAATTGTCTTTAAATTGTCTAGGGAGTCCATTATTAAAAGAGATTATAGAAGTCAGTTTATGTAAAGCATAATGTAGCTGTGTTACTTCATAAGAGGGTATTGGAAATATTTACAAAGAAAGACATAAGCTTAAGGCAACAGCTTAATTTGTGTAAAAAATAGTAAGACCTTCAAAGAATGGTGTACATTGTAGCTGACTTGTAAGTGTTCTTCTACTTGTTGTGCATTTACACCCCTCCTGTCAAGTAGCCCATTGCTCTGATAATCTTTGCTCTGCAGCCAAACAGACTCCCAGAGAAACACTGGAATACTTCCTGAGATGTTTTCAGTCTTATTTTAGCACTGGTTTTAAATATTTATAGCTATACAATAGACTAGGGCTACTCCCAGCTTCACATCTAAATGAGCCATCATGTAATTAAAATTAATAAAAATGCCATGGAAATGTTTTCAGAGTAGTGAGTGCTAGAGAACACCCAATAATGTTTTTGCAAAAGTAGCAGCAGTGTACAAAATGGAGAAAGATGAGAAACCTATCCAAGTAAATTACAGCACTCAGGGGAAAATCACAGTGTAATGGGGAAGGGAATGTTATACTGTAATTAAAAAAAAATTCCAAAACACTGAAAATTAATGTCATGGCTGTACCTTTCATATAGCTGCAGAAGAAAATTTTATTCCTTCTATAATTCTGTGCTTTACATTTTTGTAACAACTAGCAAGTTGTCAAATATTGATGTCTCAATATTTGGAAGTCTTGTCTTGTCGCAAGAACTTGGTTAACTGAGGACGGAGCAAGATGGTCTCAGTTTTGTGGGAGTGTGGGATCTAATGCTGGGGCCAGCTCTGCCAGCCACCAGGAATCCACCTTCTCTAACGTGGGGGTACAATTGACCAGTTCGGAAAACAGAATCAAACTTCTCTGCTGTTATTTCTGGACTTCTGTATATGGGAACCCACAGAAAAACTAAGGATTTCAGGGGAATGTAAGCTCTTTTAAACTTAGACTCTTTGAAACACCATGTTAAGTACTTCAGTGTCTAACAGTCATTGAAACAAAAAGTTAGACACCTAAATATTTTGTGGTACTGGGCTTGAGAACTTGATTTTCTGTGCATGTTATTTTTCCTGAGTTGTTCTCCAGGGTTCTTGTACTTGCAATCATTTTGCTCTGTGTCCAGTTTTGTAGTATTTTACAGTCAGTTAAGTTTTTTACTAGAGCTTGGGTGATTGCTTCAAAATTTCAAAGAATTAAATGAGCAGCTTTCTCGAGAAAGTACTTTGGCTTTTGCATTTGGTTTTACAGGCTGTAATAACATCGTGCTGTGCTTGACCTTTATTTTTTGAAAAGCTTTTTAGTATTTTCTGGAACTTTTACTTCTGCTTTGTAATGAGTAATTACCATGAGTAATGTGAATGAGCAGCTCTGCGCAGTAGTCAAAGCCCAAGTAAAATAGTGTTTATCTAAAATTCTTGACTTCTTATGAAGTTGCTTAGCTGTTTGTCCAGTTGTGGCTTTTAGCTGGTTCTGCATGAGTATCTTTACTAGTTACAGGATTCACTGTACAATCAGTCTTATATTTTTGTCTGATATTTCCATTCCTCCCATTCACTTCAGTGGAATTTCCAGAAGTGGCAGTTCCTTCTGTTGATGAGCTCCTGATTGACTGACTTCCACAGTGAACGGTTTCCACACCTCTCATAAGTATCACAGCATAAGTCATAAGCTGGTTTTTTGAAAATCAACGCTTGAGTAACTTAAGTACTTGAATATTTAAATAGCATTATTGTACTTTAATGCCATCCAATTTTGAATATTTAATTAGAAGTAACTATTGCATTTTGTTCTGTTGAAGGATTATTTTTTGGCTTGGGACTTAAGAATCTCTAGAGTATATATTTTTATGACTGTGAAATCTTTGCAATATAATTTAGCCTGGTACATTGATTGTTATCTTAGAGCACAGTAAAATCGGTAATAGTACTTTTGGCAAGGAAAGTAACCTTTAAGAAAATATTTAATGTGGTACCCTGATTTTGAGGTGAGTGGTGGAATTTTAGTGAGTCAAACAAAGTGCACAATTTCATAAGCATAATGGGGAGTACTTGCAATCATAGTATGAAATAAAACCCTGAGTGCAGTACAATTCTAGTGGACTAATTAAGGCAGTATAAGGTAAATTTTCTGAGAATTAGGGCGTGACTGGAAACTGTTGATGTCATGTTCATCAGCCATTAACAGTGCGTAATGTGTCAATAAATTTCTCAAACATAAGTATTCCAGGAATACATTCAATTGCATAGATTTAGTGTCACATAGTTACAATAATACATCAACTGGATGCATGGTGGCCGCTTGATAACTGGCATGCGTTCTGCAGTAGGTCTAAATACTTCATTGCAACATGAACACCATGTACCAATGGTACGTAATCTGCACCTTCTTTGCTTTGATCTTTTGACTTCAGGCATGCCTTTTCTGTATGCAATAATATATTTCTGTCTGCTTACCTTGATATGGAGAAATTGCTGTATCTCTGTAGGTTGATGCCAGTAAATGTATTCCAAAGTAGTTTTTAAATACAATAACTGTATCGCAAGAGTTAAGATTTGTGGCATACTGTAAGTCAGCTGTTTGTTAAGGGGTGATTTTTCCATTGCTTTATTTTTACTATACAGCTTGAGAGGAATTTTAGAAGTAAGAATATCCTGTTTCATTTACTTAATTTAAGGTATGCCGTTACTTCCATTACTTCCATTATGCAATTAACTTACGTAAATTAAAAATCCTAAAAGGAAATGTACAGAAATTAGTTTGATACTGACTCTCAAAAACAGTCAAAAGAAGAAAAAATGTTTCTTAAGCATCAGAGAATGTTTTATAGGTCATTGCTAGCTGATGTGATTATATTTTGATATAAACAATGTCTGTTTTGTAATAAAAAAATAATTTCCATATATATATTGCACGGATATTTTTATAGTAGAATTCCTGACAGTCTGCCACGTGTTCATCTTGTACATAGGATCTGATTAGAGGATTAGTGTTCCTGGAGATGAAGAATAGGATTTGGAACCTTTGACTGTATGAAGGCATTTCAGGATGTATGAATGAAGACTTTCGATGACTGCAGATCTTAACTCTAGGGCAAGTTAGAACAGTTTCTAGTGAATTAAAAAAATCTTCTATTCCCATACTCATTAGACTTTTGAATTGTCTAGTATTAAAGGGCGGCGATCAGATTGAGTTATACAGTATTAAAATCTTGTAATCTGTCATGACCAGAAGGTCATTTGAAGGTTTTTGAATTCTTAGGCTGCAATCAGGTCATAGACCTCAATCTTTATAATCTTTTTAAAAATAACTGACTAACCTAGTGGCTTTCTATGATGGAGTGACTACATCAGTGGACAAGGGAAGGGCTACAGATGTCATCTATCTGGACCTCTGTAAGACCTTTGACATGGTCCCCCACAACATCCTTCTCTCTAAACTGGAGAGGTATGGTTTTGATGGGCGGACTGTCTGGTGGATGAGGAATTGGTTGGATGGTCATCGCATCCAGAGAGTAGTGGTCAACGGCTCAATGTCCAGATGGAGATTGGTGACGAGTGGCGTCCCTCAGGGGTCCGTATTGGGACCAGTACTGTTTAATATCTTCATCAATGCCATAGACAGTGGGATCAAGTGCACCCTCAGCAAGTGTGCAGATGACACCAAGCTGAGTGGTGTGGTCGACAGGCTGGAGGGACGGGATGCCATCCAGAGGGACCTGGACAAGCTGGAGAAGTGGGCCTGTGTGAACCTCCTAAGGTTCAACAAGGCCAAGTGCAAGGTCCTGCACCTGGGTCAGGGCAACCCCCAGTATCAATACAGGCTGGGGGATGAAGGGATTGAGAGCAGCCCT